CTCAGGCAGAGCAGCCCTGGAGCGGGTGGGCTGGGGCTGCTGCTTCCGACTGGCGGCAGCCAAGCAGCACGGGCGCCTTAGGGGACTCAGCTCAGGACCAGCTGACTCAGAGGCACAGCTCAGGTCCCGGGAGGGAGGAGGTGATCTGGGTGCGTGCAGGGACTAGCTTGCAGCCTCAGTGCTGTGGGCATTTTCCCAATGGCCTTGACTGAGAGGATGGATGAAGGGGGCATATCGAGAGAGGACATTGCTGGCAGGGTCCAGTCCCCTGTGAGCCACGGCTGAGTGTGGGGTGTGGGGGGCTCCATGGTAAATGGGCAACTTTCACGTCAGTTTCCTGACACGGACGTCATTGGGGTGAAAGCTCCTGGGATGGGGAGCACCAGGACCCACTGAGGTTGGCGTTGGCCAGTGGGATGGGCCTCCCTGTGGGTATCTATGGTCCAAACGCTGCACAATAGGTGCCCTTTCCACAAGCAAATGTATACTTTTGTATGTTTTTGGCTTTATCTGGGTCCTGCTGGAACTTTTAAAATTTGCTAGATATGGCTACTGAGGGATGGCTGAAAGGGCAGGGTGACGGGCCCCAGGCAGCCATGGCGCGTACACGACAAGACCTGGTGAGGGGCCTGCTGGAGCTCAATCCCCTTCGATAACCTCCCAAGGGGGCTGCCCACAGCACTGAGGAGCACGGTGATTTCTGGGACATGTGCCCCTGGCAGAGCTTTCAATGGGTCAAAGCCCCCACGCAACTCCACGCCTCTCCTTTGAAATTCAGATGAACAGGTTCTGAGAGAGCAGAAGCCCGAGAATACGGCCAGCTCAGGGGGCTGTAGCTCCATCTCTTGCCCTGGGCCAGAAGGGCTGCAGCGACATCCAGTCAGGCCCCTTCTGCCCTTTCTCCATCCACCGGCTTCAGGCAAGAGATCACCTTCTCTGTACTAAACTTCCTTCCTTACAAGCAGCAGGAAATCGGAGCTTGTCTCCCCTTCATCCTCATGTGCTGGTGCTCGGGAAGCACTGTGGGTGTAACGCCAGCTGTCTAGAAGCCCACGTCTGTTCTGTATGCAGCCTGGTGCCGCCCCTCCCGAGACAGGGCTCACTGGAGCTCTAAGGGTCTTGGGGGCAGACTCGGACACTGTGGACAAGGCTTTCCACACTACCGCTGGTTCTGGAAATGCCAGCTACTAAGAGCACAGAATCCTGGGCAAATCTGGGCTCTCAGAGCAGGCGCCATTCTCACCCACAGCTTCTAATCAATTCTGTACAACTTCTCTTTCCACTGATGGGACTGACGACACGTTGTTATGCTCCTCAGCGACTCCTCAGTCTCCCTTAAACATGCCTTGGTGCTTTCAAGATCTGGCCCCAGAGTAGGCATGGGCAGCGCTGGGCAGTGGGTAGGGGCCTGGGAGCTGGGGTTGCCCTGCCTTCCCAGGCCTGCTGGGCAAGGCACTGGTTAGGCACAGGGACTTTTATGCTTCCTTCCCAAAATAATCCATATGATTGTAACCTTTAAAATTCTCTATGCTACCTTGGCTGGCGTGGCTCAGAGGTTGACCCAGGCACCACACTTACGGGGTTGATTCCCGGTAACATCAAGCACATGCCTGGGTTGCAGGTTTGATCTCTGGCCCTGGTTGAGGTGTGTGTTGGAGGCAACCAATGGATGTGTCTCTCTCATATCAAAGTTTCCCTCTCTCTCACCACCCCTCTCCCTCCCTTCCATTCTCTTTAAAAATCAATGGAAAAATATCCCCAGGGGAGGATTAACACAAACAAACAAACAAACAAACAAACAAACAAACAAACAAACTGTTTTTGCCAAGGGTGTAAGAGACCAGCAGCGTGAGGGTGATGATGAGGGCTGAAGGTGACCTCTTCTGTCTTCTCTCCCTCTCCCTTCCCTCCGCCGTGTCTCGAAAGCAGATGGCTGATACCTGCATCCGGCTGAAGTGGAAAGCAAGCTGAACAAGCAGAGAACCTGGGAACCGTGTACCAGCACCCTTCCCAGTGGGCAGACCTGGGCTCCACGTCTCCCCATGAGGATGGCTGTGTGCTTGGCCAGCATCAAGCACTCTTAGGAGCAAGAGGATGTTGTGGGCCACTGACATATTGGGTTTCATTGTGGCCCCTGGATTAAAAGTGCTGGGCATACTGTGTGCACATATGTGACAAAAGGTTCTGTCCTGGGAATTAAATCTCCACCAAGTGGGAGCTCAAAAAAGCAAGTGCTAGAAGCACAGCCTTGAGTGTTCCCGCTGGGCTGGGGCTGCCCAAGCGAGCCACAGTGGGGGCAGGCGCCTCCCCACACAGCTGAATGCAGGACTGCCCGAGTTCGACCCACGGGGCTGGCCGTGTCCTCGGCTGGCCTCCAGCACAGCATCAGCACCGTGTGCGGCTCCTGTCCTTCTCTCCAAGGGCAGCTCCAGCTCCAGTGTGCACTTCTAGGGCTTGTGCATCCGATATACACGCCAAGAAGTAAACACCGCCTCGTCTCCATCCAAGTCTTGAGAGTTTCCTGTTGTCCGAGCCAGTCTGTGGACAGCACACATCTGTACTTCATCAACTCGGAAAGGCGCCTACGCGAGAGGCGGATGGGGCAGCTGAGGGGCCGGCCTGAAACCAGCCCAACTTTCTGGAAAGCCGTCTTCTGAGAAGCTGCTAGAACTAGCCCTAGTGGCCCCTCTTCTCAGACCTGCTCCAGAGACCCCCAGGCACAGCATGGGTGACTGGAGATTAACAGCCTCATGTTCTACCAAGCAGCACACATGCTGTTGCCAAAGCTCCTCCACTTCTCTGCTCTAAGATAAACAGGCCTGTTTGTGCCTGTGCGGGAACAGGGAAGGCGTGCACAGGCGCTGCAGCTGGACCTCACTGCAGGACCCCAGGTCTGGAGCTCTGGAGGACAGGAAGGGCCCGTGAGAGGCTCAGGGAGCCCACGGCCAGGCTTCATTCCCCTACGGGACCCCCACAGTCACAGGAGAGACAAATAGAAGTGGGGGTCCTCTGAGACAGGGGCACTCCTAACTCAAATCCAGCTACCAGGGCTGCTGCTGTCCCCTGCACCCTCTAACTTCCCACCCCACCGCGAGCCAGAATGACCTGCCGGGAGCCCCATGAGGACTTCCTGGGGGTCCTGGCCCCTTCCCTGCCCAGCCTGGGAAAAGAGCTGGATGAAGCTGGCCCAGTGGCTGCTCCTAGGACAAGCAAAGCAGGTACTTTGTTTCTGAAACCATGTGCTGCTTTTTATCAGAAATTAGCCATTTAAAGACAACCTAAGAATAAGTGATTTACATACATAAGGAGGGGAGTCGATCCTCTTCTAACGGAGACTTGGGAACACTTCCTTTTCGAGGCCTCCGTCTACTGCACTGTGCACTCAAGTCCTCCTGAGAGAGGGGCTGCATGTGGGAGTGAGGAGGGACCAGCCCACGGGGCCCATCCCCATCTGTCCCTGGTACTGAGGGAACGGGACCACAGGGAGGAGCTGGGAACAGCAGCTTTTCTCCTGGCACAGGCCATGGAAAGCGGAAAAACATCCTAAAATAGATCAAATCCCTCAGAGAACGTAGACAGACATTTCTTGGGACCCACGATTCTCCAAAGGACTCCTGCCTTTCAGGAATGCAGCCTGAGAGGCGCGGGAGCCTCGCCTTGTGGCCCACAGGCCCGTGCAGCCTGGGATCAAAGCAGCACAGGCCAGGGCTCCCATGGCTGGCCTGCGCTCGGTATGCACACGGGCTGGGAACTGCCGGGGCTCCAGAAGCGGCAGGTGAAAGGTGAGGACTGAGGAGACCAGACCAGGTGCGCCCTCGCTGAGGTCGTCTCATCGTCTGTGACCTCACTCTCTGAGCCCCAACGTCCCCTCCTGTGACGGTGCTCGTCCCTCCACCTTGGGGCAGTGTGTGAGGACCGCAGACAGTCAAGGGCACGTGCTGCTACTACCTGGCGCTCCAGGGGCTTCACATCGTAGGCAAACGTGTGCGTACCACAGTACAGACGTGACTTCTCATTCATTCACGCCCCTTCGGGGCCTTGGCTGGGTGAGCGTCCCTGTGCTGGTGCGGGTCTCTGAGGTGGAGGCGCAGAACCTCCCACTGCGATGGTCTGCTGGTTCAGAGGGGTTGGAGCAGAGCGGATGAAGGCCTGTCCAAGCTCCCAGCAGCTTAGTGGCTCTGATCGAGGCACAGCAGCACACCACAGGAACAGACCGGGTCCCTTCTCAGCTGCGTGGATTGACATTCCCATCAGCAGCAAACAGCCCAGGCCAGAAACCACATTCACTCCCCGCCAGGCCCCGCTGGGTGCCTTGCACAGCATATCCACAGTCCCACCTTCTTGCATCTCAAGGATGATGCCACGGTCTGGCAGGTCTCCACGGGGCGGTTTCTGACCCGCCGGCTCTGGGCAGTAAGTGGGTCTGAGCTGTGATGTGAAGGCCTGTCTAATGGGGCCCCACCACCACGCCCAGCCGTCCTCCGCTCCTTCTCCTCTCTGGGCATTTCCTCCCTCCATCTGTATTTCCCTGTGACAAGGGCAGGTCCCGGTGCATCTTGGGCTGGCAGTACCTGTGTGCTAGGGAAACGACCCAGGGCCGGGTGGGCGACTGGCCACCAGCGCCTGCCCGAGCTTCCTGCTGCTGTCCCAGGCCCAGCACGGGAAACTGCCTGGAGCACTGAGGCAGCGCGGCCCCTGTGGCTGCTCCGCAGCACCTGAGTGCCAGCCTGGCCACTCCGAGACGGACAGGTGGGACCATGGCTCTGTTCTGGGCCAGCAGCCCGGCCCTCCCTTTTGGAAAGGAAGATGGGGAGGAGCTGGGAGGAGGGTCACGGAGCAGGACTTCAGAAGGCCCCCCTGCCTTTCCTATCAGGAAACACATCCTGTTAGTGTCTGGCTGCTGCGGCAGGCAGCTATTTGTTGCAGTTGGCTACGCCCTCCAGCTCACCAAAAACAGCCTCAAAAACAACCATTTCCTCTCTGCTGAGAGACGGGGAAAATGCACGCGCACACACATACACACACACAGACACACGCACACATACTTCCCTGCAGCAGGCTCTCTGCTTTCCAGGACCAGCCGTTTTGTGTTGGAGGCACCAGGCAGGGGCTCAGGCAGCACAGAGGCCGCTGAACCCACACTGTTCCCCGCGGGCCTGCTCAGAGCCTGGCTGCCGCACTGGCTTTGCTCTGAGCGCAGCTGGTTCTAAGAAGTGAGGTCCGGCTGACACCACGTTACCACCTGCCTCTCCTCTCCAGTTACTCTCTGTTCTCCCTTGTGGGGGACAAGAGGCTTCCAGCCTCTCTGGGCCTCTGTTTCCCAGGAAGACGGCGCATTCAGGACTCTGGGCTCTCACTGGTGCCCTGCTTCCTTCTCGAGATGGGCCACGCAGTCACCTTCAGATCAGGCCTACCCCAGCTCCAGGTGCAGGAAGGAGGGTAAGGAGGACCGTGAGGTGGGCTCACTTGCACCTGTGCACGGGCCTTCCCGACCCTCCAAGAATGAACGGTGATGTCCTCTAGCCTCCCCTAGCAGCGTCTTGGTTCTCCCTGGCCACAGCAGCTGACCAGGACTGGGACTTTCTCCACAAGCGGTCAGCACCAGCAGTCAGTGATGACTGTCCAGAAACTGGTGGCCACAGCCGTGCTGGTGGCCCTGGTCTCTCTCATCCTCAACAATGCAGCAGCCTTCACCCCTAACTGGGTGTATCAGACGCTGGAGGACGGACGCAAACGAAGTGTGGGGCTATGGAGGTCCTGCTGGCTGGTGGACAGGGCCCGGGGAGGGCCAAGCCCCGGGGCCAGGCCTGGGCAGGCAGATACGAGGGACTGCGAGGCCCTGGGCTGGGGCTCTGAGGCGGCAGGCTTCCAGGAGTCCAGAGGCACCGTCAAACGTAAGTCTGCTCTCTCTTCTGTCTTTTAGAGCGGGTGGGGCCCGCCAGCCCTGCGTGGCATGCAGAGGACACGGGCTACGTGTTTGCTGACGGGTGAGGGATGCTTCGCTCTGAGGGGCAGCACTGGCTCTTGGGGAACCCTGGCAGGCCCCGAGCTCCACGCCCCCCCTCCCCTGGTGAGCCACAGGCACTTGTCAGTCCTGCTCAGCTCAAACCTGCCTGTGCTCTTCCTTTCCCTGTCTCTCAGCAGAGGTCTCCTCACGCAGCAGGGGGCTTTCCTTTTCCATTATGCACAGCTAAAGAACAAATGCATTAACCAAATCAAGAAAATTACATTTTTCCTGGTGGAAAACTAAGATCGTTAATGAGAAAAATAAACAAGAAGCTTAAGAACAGATGGTTGAGTTCTGACTTCATTCCACAGTCGTCACTGTGGTTTAGGTGGTACGCAGCTCGGGGACACCTGCCAGAACTGACTGTAGGTGGGACCACAGCGGCTGCGGAGGCCCGCTCAGAAGACAGAGCGCTTGCCCCCCTGCTCCCCTGCCCCCCTGCCCCCTCTGCCCCACTGCCTCGTCCTGGGCCCTGGTTGGTCATGCTGAGCACTGGGTCTATCACTGCTCTGGAAACTGGGAACTTGACTTTGAAAGTAGGGTCAGGATTTCGTGTTTCAGAGGGAAGGGTTCCTAAGGGTCATCTAAACAGTCACGGTGGCTGATGGGCAAAGGTCTCCCAATGATGACCCTTTAAACTAACTTGCAGGAGGGCGTCATCCGTTCTGAAGACAAAGTGTGTCTTTGAGAAAATATGACAAACACGAGACTGCAGATGGGGCCTTGCTAGTTGCCATCAGATGGTGTCCCCAAAGTCCTCAAGTAGCTCGTGTGCTCCCTGTGTGCCCGTCCCCAACTGCTGTGGGCTCGGAACCCTGACCTGTGAGGGAAGGCGGGGTGGGGGATGTCATCTCATTTCATAGGCAAAAAGCGGAGGCGGCAGCCAAGGTCCCTGGGGGCATGCAATCTACTAGGCTCACCACAGCCTGAGGGGGTGGTGTGTCAAGGGGTGGCTCTCTGCCCCTCCCCTCTTCTTTGCAAGCAGGGAGGAAAACCTCTCTTTAAAAGATCAAAGTGCATGAATGATTTCAGAATTGCCTGACCCTGGTTCTCAACCTGTGGGTCGTGACCCCTTTGGGGGGTCGAACGACCCTTTCACAGGGGTCACCTAAGACCATCGGAAAACACATATTTCCGATGACGATTCATAGCAAATTACAGTTATGAAGTAGCAACAAAAATAATCTTATGGTTGGGGGTCACCACAACATGAGGAACTGTATTAAAGGGTCGCGGCATTAGGAAGGTTGAGAACCACTGGTCTATGAGCTCTCCGAACTCCGGGGCCTGTGGGAAGCCAGATAAATGCAGATGGACCTGGGTCTCTGTGTGACCTGCTGTTTAAGAATGATCCTTACGACTTGGGGATTGTCCTGAGGAGCAATGAAAGCCAGAGGCTCAGCCTGTGAGGGGAAGTCCTGGGCCTAAGGACTCCTGCTACGGCCCCCAATGCTGACCGAGCGCCCTCCCTGTGCGTCCATCCCCTTGGCTCCCATGCTAAGGACTGCTCACCTCAGGCCAGGGAGACACACAGTGGTCCTCCTGACCCCCACACAGCCACCCTCGCTTCCCCCCTGCCCTGCCACATGTCCTGAGCAGCCCCACTCACCCAGCCTTGTTTGCTGTCCCTCCCTGACCCCCTGACAAGCTCCCTGACCAACTTTTAAAATAACCTCTTGCCATTAGTATGGCGTTTATGGCAACTACCCTTAATGAATTTCTAAGCATCAAATATTTGTCCAGAACAAGGGAAATGTCTACAGAAGCTTCTCTTGAGCAAGACTGCATTGAGCAGTGAGCCATTGTCACGCCAGGTCTGGGACATGAGCGGGAGCAGAAAGTCGGCATCCTGGCCCTGGTGGTCTGGAGCTGGGGCTTCCTGCCACCACATTAAATCAAACCAGTGCCCAGTCTCGTTAACTCTCATGAAAAACCCCAGCCCACACTTTGCTCGAGATCTAGCTGGGCAGAGATTGGGAGGAAGGAGCCGGGAGTCCTGCATGGCGCCCTCCACACCACCTAGGTTTCACTCTGTCAAATCACCTCATCCATGACGGGGCAACGGGGTAACATCAGTGCAGTCCAACCCTGAGCACCCGTCTAGGGGCACCAAGGTGGCGAAACGTGCCCCTTGTCACACATCACCGGTCGGCTTTGCCCAGAGAGCCGGGCTGACCTAGAGAGTCCAGATGTTGCGCAGGCAGCCGGGCAGCAGCCTCGGGACAGCAGTCAGGCTCCTGCCAGCTCTGTGCCAGGGGTCCTGGCAACGCCCTGTGCAAACATCCGAGGAACCATTACTCGAGTCTGGTCAGGGCCTTTGTGCTGCCGGGTGTCCTGAGGAAACTGGGCCGGGGCACAGGGGCCAGTCTAGGTCCTCCAGCTGCCCCCATGCCACCCTGTGCCCTGGTCTTGAGGATGCTCGCTGGGCAGGGTGCAGCCATCCTGACTTTCATTACTGATCAGGTGGCTCCTTCCTTCCTGTGAGGTTTGGGGGGGAACTTGGGAGACTTGAGGGCCCCCTGTGGCTCCCAGAGAAACCTCACAACTTAACTCCAGAGTCAGTCTTCCTCTGGTACTGTTTTCTCTGTCATTTTTCATCTTTCCATATTTCATGCGTTCTGTCAGGCACCTGATGTTCTTTTTCTGAAGCAAGATGCATCATGAATAAACATAATTAACTCTTGGGTAGATGGCTGAAGCCTAGAGCTCTCTGAGGGAAGCCCCTTGCCCTGCCCATAGGTGATTCGATGCTCTCCGGCCCCAGGTGGGTGGCCTGAGTCTCACGGGAAATGCAGGTGGACGGGGTGTGTACCACATACTGCCCGGCCAGATGACACTCGTGCCACATTCTCACTGGGCTCCTTAAAATCCAGGCACTGCTGCCAGGCTGTGCACACAGGTAGCGTTAGAGGCTGTAAAGCGCCCGGGTGGATGCAGCCTGGACAGGTCTCCTCTGAGTGGCTGGCGAAGAGAGGATGGCCCGGAGAGGAGAGTCTTCTTCTCAGGCAGAGGGGCGAGTCTGAGCAGTCACCGCTTCATCCTTCTCCCTCTAGACATCTGCAGCACCACGGATCTCCGGGGACCTGAGGGCCCGTGTGGTGGCGTGTGAGCTCGGGGGTGTGTAGCTCAGGGTGCGCACGCAGGGCTGCCAGGAAGGACGGAGCTGGATAACCAGGCGGGCAGGCAGCAGGCTGCACATGGGGAGGGACGGGCCAGGGTCGCTGGCGCTCTGCTCCCGGGAGCCTCGGTCAGGTGGCCTCACTGCACCAACACGTGCTCCCTGTGGCTGTCCCCTGGTGCTCCTGTCCACCGCAGGCCACTCCCCTCTTCGCAGGCAGTTCATTCAAGTCTTTCCTCGCTTGCAAGGCTGAGCTTGGGAAACCGGACGGACTTCTCTGGGCCTGGCTGTTAACCTCCGTCATGTTTAACACCCTTGTCTCTGAGGTCACTTCCACCTCCTAAATCCTACCGTCTTTTAGAGAAGCAGAGCCTCTGTAGTCATATAAATGGTAAAAATAATTGCAAAGAAAATCAGTGTGAAGAAAGAGCAGTGTGAGCAGCAGTCTCCACGAGAAGCCAACTAGTTTCCCTGGGCAAAGAGGGAAGAAACTGCCCCGGCTCACCCCATCCAGACAAGAGGCCAGCCTGCCACTGGCTGCACCTCCAGGTGCCCCATGAGCACTGCATCGGTGGCCAGGAAGGTTCTAGCAAACTCAGCCTTGGGCGAGTGGGGAACTCTCAGGCTCGGGTGAGCACACGCCCCCGGTGCTAAGGTTCAGAGAGCACCGCTGCCTGCCCCGGGCCCCCAGTGTCTGCTCCTCTCCCCAGCTCTGGACCCACCGCCACACCAGACCTGGCCCTGCCTGCACCACTGGGGCTCCCCCAGTTTGCCCAACCCCTGCCTCCTGTCTCCTGGCGCTGGGAAGGGTCACAGAGGAGTGTCAGGGTTTGTGGTGATGCAGTTGTTTCTGTGGTTACTCTGAAGACTATAGATCGTGAGCTCAATTACAGGGAAGTGCAGCCCACCGGGCAGGGGGCTATGCCAGCGAGAAAAGTGATTGAGAGCAGAATGCACAGCGCCCAGCTCAGTCCACACTGTCAAGCCCGACTCAGGAAGGTGAAAGCCTTCACCTGGTGGAGACTGTCGTGTGTCTGGTGGCACGTGCGCTCCCTCGTATGCTCCTTGGCCCTGGCGCTGGGCTCTCCTGGAAGCTGCGCTGACTTCCCAGAAGCCAGGCCTCTGCCACTGTCCTGCCCTCAGAGCAGTGGTGCCACCCCCAGGCCAGAGGGGGCACTGGGAGGAGGCCTGGATTAGGGAAGGGCCAGATCCTTCAGGCTCCGAATGACAGATGGATGGGAGAAGGAAGGAGCTGAGACACAATGGGGAGGAGGAGTGCACCCTCCATGGCGGGAAGTGTCTCCATTTAACTCAGGCTCCACACATGCTAAGCATGAATATTGCTGGGCTGGCGGAATGACTCCCAGAAATCCTCGAAGCCTGACACTGGGTGGGGCAGGGGCCAGGAGGCTGCCGGTCCTCACTTGATTCTGTGGCGGGGGCCACAGGGAAAGGACCTACTGCCCCTGTCCCCTGCCTTTGCAGTTCACCACTGTGCTCCTCTGTCCTCTCTGCCCTGTGTACATGTCTCTTGTGCCTCACTCCCGGACTGGGTGCAGGTGGGGGAGCGGAGCACATGGAGCCTGGAGATGGGGGCAGAGGGAGATCAGTGAGGTTGTCAGTGCAGACTGAGGCATGAGCACCAGGAGAGCCCCAGCCCTGAGCGGCCTGCCCTGCGCTGACCACCTGCCTTCTTTCCCTCTTGGCCCCTTGCAGTGCAATTCGACATGATGCGTGCCTGCAACCTGGTCGCCACGGTGGCCCTCGCTGCAGGCCAGCTCACTTTCATCCTGGGGCTGACGGGCCTACCCCTGATGTCGCCTGATTCCCAATGCTGGGAGGAGGCCATGGCTGCTGCGTTCCAGCTGGCGAGTAAGTACCCCCAGGCCCCAGAGGGGCCAACAGAGTGGCAGCACCCTCAGCTTCCGTTGGGGCTAAGAAGGCCCACTGTGGCCTTCTAATGTCACATTGATCCCTGGGTCACCCTCCTGCCCCACCCGTCGCCGTGGGTAGGAGCAAAACTGGAACATGCACACGGGGGCGGGAGTGCTGAGGGTTCGGGCAGCAGAGGTTTTGTATCTCTGGAGCTGTGGCCCCGGCCCTTTTCCATTTTGAGACAAGGTGCTGGCACATGGGTGATGTGCTCTGTCTTCCAAAGCCTTCGGCATCTAGCATTTTCTCTGTTCCCCTGAGGCCCGTGTGGCAGGTGGCCTGGGTTCACGCCTCCTGAGCCAGTGCAGCAGCCTGCCCTGGGCCGAGGGGCAAGTGCCATCTAGCCTGTGCCGCAGAGCGGCCAGGCCCAGGGCTATCGGGAGCGAGCCTCTTTGGAACAATTTGTAGCCACCACGGCCTCTGAGGGTGAAATGAGGCTGGGCATGAGCACACCTGTGGTCTTGGAAGGGTGAGAGTGGTGGCATCATTGTAATGATGAATGAATTGCTCTGGGAGGCTCCGTGGCGGCCATGGAGGCACCGTCGGGGGCTGCTATGCTGATTTCTCTCGACATCTGCGCTTCTCACTGGCCCAGGGTAAACAACTGGGGAAGTTCTGGCTTCCTGCTCCCTACTAGGGAAGAGTCAGGTCAGTGGTCCCATGGTTACGGAGACTGATGAAGTGGCATGGGGACATTAGTAGCTGACGTGCTTGGTGGAGAACAGCAGCACGTCCCAGTGTTGAAGGTGCGGTTCCAACAAACCCAGTGGAAGAAACGGCAGGAAGTCTGAAGTAAATCAGTCTAGGAATAATGGATCACCGCCCTCATCCTTCTGGAGAAACACAATTTCCAGAATGAGGCTGACAGACAGACAGGTGTTGGTGTGCTGGAAAGTGCTTGGGTGGGCCCTGGCTGGTTTGGCTCCGTGGTTAAGGTGTTGGCCCGCGGACCAGAGAGTCCTGGGTTCGGTTCCTGCTAAGGGCACGTACCTCGGTTACAGTTTGTCCCCAGCCCTGGTTGAGGTGGTGTGGGTGGCAGCCACTCGATGTGTCTCTCTCACGTTGATGTTTCTCTCTTTCTCTTCCTCCCTTTCTCCCTCCTCCTCTATCTGAAGATAAATGCAAAAAAAAGAAAAAAATGTCCTCAGGTGAGGATGAAAAAAAAAAAAAAAAGAAAGAAAGAAAGAAGGTGCCTGGGTGGGAATCAGAAGGGCCTCCTGTGCTCTGTTAAAGGAAGGTGGTGTGGTCCTGGGCTGGTCACTTCCCCGTGGCCCAGGCTGGATGCAGGAGGGGGCAGCTGAGGGCTGGCCAGGGGAGAGCACAGGGTTTGGCATGAAGGGGACTGGATTGCATCTGGGCTCCATGAGTCATCATCCATGTGACCCAATCCACACCTCAGTTTACCCAAATGCAAAGCAGGGATGACGTCTGCTGCCATCGGACTGATGCTGAGAATACACGAGGCAGGTGGAATGGGATCTCTGATCACTTCTGCCTGCAACCCTCTTCCGTGACTGTAAAAACCCAGACATTCCAAGTGATTAAGGAAAAGTACCCATTTGCCCTCTGCTAACCGTAGGGCTATAAAACAGAACTGGCTTCATTGCCTCAGTGAATCAACCATCTTCCATCACGTGGGGTTATCTGAAATTCCATCCCTTCAAGAAGGAAGTGGAAGATTTAGAAACGTGATTGGAAAAGCTAGATTAAAAACAGACATTTTAGTGGCATTGAGGAAATGAAAGTAATATTTCCTGATCTGAAAATAACTCCTAGCAGGGTAATCAAATCAGTCACTGCTGCGTTTCTCAAGAAATTCCTCTGAAACATTTATTTAGACTTATTATGAGAAATATGGTGGGTTTGGTGTGAAACTGACATCTTACTTCCTGCAGACTCTTATTTTAGAACAAGATAGTGTTGTTTACAAATATCATTTTTAAAAAACTCAAAATGGGGCGGAAGCCCCGTGAACTAAAACCAAGTTGTCTTGCAGCAACCCTGGCAGGGGGTGGTGGGCTGCCAAAGGTGTCTCGGGGGCCTGAACCGGCGAGGTGGGGGCAGAGGTACTGTGCTCCTCTCCTAAGTATTTCCAGGCCGGCACAACTTCTGGAAAGGTTGGACTAGGCTCTAGTAAAAAACAGTCAGACAGGCAGAGGCTGATGGAAAAAGCCAGAAGCACCGCAGGGCAGCCCCGGGTGTTTCAGATGGTTCCTCTTGCCTCCACAGGCAGCCTCTCCCCTCGGTGTCTGACCATTACTCCCAACAGGTCTGTTTTGCCCAAAAAGGAAATGCATTTGGCCCTGTTTAGACTTGTTTCATTGACAAACAGTACAGAATGCAGCTATGTGCCTTTCTTCTATCATGCTGCTAATTTTAGAGTTAGGTTTTTTCCTGTACTCCGGTCTGTTTTAAACAGTCAGGGAGAGACTGAAGGGCGCCAGGATATCCTGTCCCAGGAGGGGGAAATGCCTGCTAGTACCTGTTACGCAAGCCAACCTTGAGTCCCTAGTGCCTGGGCCAGAGGGTGGGCAGGGGGAGAGCATGAGGAAGGGAAAAGCACATGGCGTCGCTGGGAGCCGGGAAAAGCTGGAACCAAGCAGAGACAGCGACACGCTGATCGGAGGGTGCCCTGGGACTGCAGCCTGAAGTGGTTATCTGCCCACTTGCTCATTCATTCCACAATCGTTTCTGGGCACAATTCACACTACACGACGCCTGGCCTGGGTCTGTTTAAAGGACAGCCTCTGCGACTCAGAGTGCGCGGCTCCAAAGGACCTGTCACAGTGACGTTGGGGGACCCTATGCAACGGCCATGTCACCTGGTTTGCTCTATCATGTTCAGGCCACCACACCCAAGCTTCCAATTTCTTTGCAGAATTGTCCAAGTGTAATTTGTTTGTTTGTTTATCCTCACTGAAGGATATTTTTTCCATTAATTTTTAGAGAGAATGGAGGGAGGGAGGGGAGAAAGAGAGAGAATGTGAGAGAGACACATCGACTGGTTGCCTCCCACATGACCCCAACCTGGGCCAGGGATAAACTGCAACCAAAGTACGTGCCCTGGCCGGAAGCGAACCCGTGACTCATTGGTCCACGGGCCGATGCTCTAACCACTGAGCCAAAACGGCCAGGACCAAAGGGTAATTTTAATTTACCTTAAAGGTGAAAAAAATTCCCTTCTGTCCCTTATTCCAGCCCCACCCCTAAACTGAATATGCTGTGGGAACCCTGCATATTCCCTGTGGTGAAAGCACTCTGCGTGATAGAGACTGAGGTGCCCAAATTCAACTCCTGTGCCCTGCTGTGTCTGATAGGCCCTTGGAAGGCAGGGGGCCACAGTGGCCCATGAGACGGGTACAGTCACCATGGAGCGGCTCTGCACTGTCCCCGGGGCCGCTCCCCCCTCCCCTTGGCTCCTTCTGTTGTAACCAGTACACGACAGATACCAACTGCCAGGCTTTCCTTGATTTTTTCCCTCCCTGAGGCCTCTTAAGGCCCCTCATTCAATCTGTTGGTTATCCAACTTCAGAGCGCTAGAGCCCTCTCTGCGGGGCTCAGAGCTGCTGGGCTGCAACCACATGCCCCTCATGTTCTGATGACAGCAGAGGTTTAAGAAGGGTCTGTAAGGGGGCCCTGCAGTGTGGGCCATCCCAGCCCCAGAGCCAGCAGCTGCGATGCATGGGCCCTGCCTTGCTGGGTGTAAGCGCTCCCTTCCCACAGCCTCACACATACGTGAGCTTCGATCTGGCTCACTCTACAGACCTTCCTTTCTCCTTGACTTTCCTGGCTCCTCCTCTCGCTGCTTCTCCTGTTTCTTCATGTCTGTGGTCTCACTGATGTGCGCAGAAAGGCACAGGCAGAGCAGGGAAAGCAGCGTTGAACCGGGGTGTCAGAGGCGCAAGGTCTTTCCCAGCCTCTGATAAAGGCAGATGCTGCTGACTTGCGGCAGACTCCTGAAGCAGAGGGGAAAGCCAGGGTGCGCTCTGCAGGCAGCTCAGCTGTGGGCCCTGGCTCCTGAGCACAGCCGAGCTTTCCCACAGGAGTCTGGGCTCGAGTGGGCTCCAGCAGGCTGCCGGCTCTGGGTGAGTGCCTTCAGCTCTGTGCTCTTTGGACAGCAGGGAAAGCTGCTGCAGGCTGCAGACCCTGCCTTCAGTCCTGTTCGCCGCTACCGTCATTCTGCCTTCCCACTGTAGTCCTGCTGGACACCACCAACTGAAACGTTACCTGTCCCCAGACACAGCCTCCGTGCTCTTTGTTGGGACTCTCTGCCCCATGTGAGCTCGCTGTGAGGGCCAGAGCCCTGCAGGTGCTCTCAGCCCAATCCATGGGCAGACCATCCTCCTGGGCAGAATGCTGTGGGGCCTTGACATTTCCTAAGTGTGACCCTCCTGCGGCCCACCAGGAGCTCCCGGTCCGCTGGGCCCTCACTGTTGGCTATGCAGGACTGACACTGTGGTCCGAGGCTGACAGTTTTATGTAGGCTGAATGATCTGGTGGTTATGCAGGGCTCTGTACTTGGGTCAAGTCTCGTCTTTGAAGGGCAGCTCCTTGGCCACTGCTGACCTCCTGGGCAGCGCACTGTCTACCGGAGTCCAGCCTGACAGCCCTGTGGCTACACGGGTGCGGTCAGGCTGGCAACACAGCCGGTGCCCGGAGGCTCACCATTCTTTGTCAGTGCCTGCTGGTGCTCTCCCTGGGGTGAAGGACCTGTGCACCCCACCTCTGAGAGCCTTGGGCTAGTAGGTTCTTGCCCTCATCTTGGGAGTCTATGTCTTGCCCGATGACAAGATGGGGCCATGCGAGGGGGGACCCGAAGACCAGGCTTCTCATCTGCTCCCTCCCCTAAGCCTCCCTCTCTTGTCCCCGCTGCTCATTGAAGTCTCTATACATGCTACCTCTGATCCTTTTTGGAAAATGCTGGTAAGTAAATAAAAAAA